GTGACAGTTTTAAAACAATCAACAGGTTCACGCCTACGAGAGGTCAAATCGAGTGTATAACTACACTTTGGATCCCTGTGGTCCTGTATATATAACAGTTGGTGATGGTGGTAACCGAGAGAAGATGGCAATTGCACATGCTGATGAACCCGGAAACTGTCCAGAACCATGTACAACTCCAGATAAGTTTATGGGTGGCTTTTGTGCATTTAATTTCACATCAGGCCCCGCAGCAGGAAAGTTCTGTTGGGACCGGCAGCCTGAATATAGTGCATATCGAGAAAGTAGCTTTGGTCATGGGATTCTAGAGGTACTTCCCTTTTCTCTCTGCTATGAAAAGTTGAAAACACAAACTCTTGAGAGTACAGATAAACTTTTTATTATAAAGTGGACTGAAATTTTAAACCCAAATGAAAATTTGATACAAATGATTTGCTAATGTCTTTCTTTAACAATTGCATTCAGTTTTCGTTGTTATGATGGTCCCTTGCTAATCGGGGCTAAAGCTCCGGAAATTAGAAATGCCAAAATTGGAATAACACTTGATACTATCAGAAATGCCCAGAAAAAATCATATTCGTAAAGCAGAAACATAGACGTACTCCTATTATTATTTATTTATTTATATTTACTTTAATTTTAATTGAAATTGAAATAAAAGGAATATAAATAAAATATATGGAAAATATACAATAAAACTTAGAAGTTATAAACATGATCAGTGATGTATAGCCAATGCCTTGTGTAGTACGTTTATGTTCAACTGTAAATGTGACGCCATAAACTGCTAAGGCCTCCATCAGTGCTGTTGAGAATGAAAGTACTTGAAGACTCACTGACAAAATTCTGTATGCGTATCAATATACCGGACCAACACGGTTTGCGTAAAATCACACCAATAAGGTGATAAGCAGCACTCTTTTGTGCCCTGCAGGTGAAAAATGATACTCATGCTTTATGGTCCTGGCACCGAAATCAGGACTTCTACGGATATGCTGGAGATCAAATTTTTATTGTAAGGCAGCCTGATAGCTGTCCAGTTACGGCAAACGTTACACAAAACAATTGAGAGCAGGAAAATGAAGGAAATTATTGGATAAATGGTACTAACTTCACCACAGCAGTGAACTCTGAGTCTCTGATAATATTATACCGACTGATAGATTCTTGTACACATTTTTGTATGCATCTACAATTTCCAACTTGCGCGCCTTAACTCATTTACAACAGTTCTGCACATCTCTAGTTGTGAGCCCTCAAGTCTTCAACTTGATGTCAGGCGAAGTTATCTCTTGTGTTAACTTTCAATTTGTAATGCTGAAAATTTCTATTAATAAAACTGCCGGATTTTTATTTGGTCTTGATTCTTAATTTGTCCAACCTATACTTCATTTTGTTCATGAAGTATAGGTTATAGAGTTTTGAAGGAAACTGAGCATTGGTCATACCAAACTCGAGCTTCCCTCATCGGCACTAATGATGGATGTAAAACACGTGGGTGAGTTTACATGTAGAATTGGACTAAAAAAATTTCAAGGTAACATTCCAAGTTCTGCATCCATTTTAAGGATTAGAATTTGGAACTACAATTCTGGCCACTGAAATTAGAGAACATCTTTTTGCTTAATTTCCAAGGTTAAAAAATTGAGCAAACTCACAATCTACGCAATGCAATATTATTATGATCTAGGGTCTATATCGTGACCAATGATTCATCACAAATTTGGCGTTCTACTGGTAATTTGTTTTGCCTGACAAACTAGCAACTATTATAAATGATATATTCATACTTTTCATGTCCATATACTCATGTATTTTGCACATATATTTAGTTATAACAAAAAGTAAAGGTTGAGACTCAAGCTTTCTGATCATAAAATAAGCCGTGGGTGAGTTTAGAGGTATTTATACAAGTACAAAGATGTGTTAACTCTAAATAAAATATGAAATATATCTAAATTATAATAGGAAATAAATCTCTATTACAATATGACTAAAAATAATTGGTAAGTAACCAAAAATCATAACATAGTAAGGAACCAAAATCCTAACTAAGTAAAGACTCGCCAACAGATTGATGGTGCTTCTGTATCAAATCCGGCATATGATTTTGGCTTGAACGGGATTAGAGTGTGATGATCGAGATTAAATCTATGACTTCTGAAGATCAAATCTAGATTAACTCTACGATTTCTGAAGATCTATTGCCTCACATTTGTTGGTGTTGTTGATTCTCGTACCTTTCTAAAGATCTGAAAAACCTAGGATTTACCCTTCTTCTACCAATGGAATTCCATGTGCCATGTCCCTTATAGTGTTTTATATCTCTATGAGAGACTTTCAAGGTAAAGAAAAGAAAATTCATTTGATAAATAGATAGTAGATGTAACACCCCGACTCCAATTATTTCCTATTTTAATCTAATTAAGAGAAAATATTAATTTACTCTTGGGTTAAGGGTAATTTTGGCCAATTTCTTATCCGGGAAGATTTTGGGACCATGAGTGGTGTGGTTGCGTAGGTAGTACTGAGACGAAACCGTAAACAGGCGGTAGGCTTGAATCGGAGATTTAACGAAGCTTTGGCAATCAGAACTTGTTCGGTGGCAGAACCGTAATTAATTCAAAGTAAGTTTGGGGTAAAATCAGATTTTTCACATTTACCCCTCACTTTCTCTCTCTCTCCCGTGTCTCCTCCCTCTGCGTCAAACCCATTCCCGTCACTGTGCAAGCCGAACGGAAACCACCGTGCCGCCGCCGCCACAGTCCACCTCAGCCCTCAAGACCGATCCCGTTTGACTCGTCGTGAAGTCCCGATCAAGACCCACCCAATTTCCTTGCCGGAAAGCCGGAGAATCGTCGACGGTATCGACTGGTTCGAACCGGAAGTTTCCGATCGTTGCGCCGCCGCCTCCGCCGTCTGTTTCAGGTAAAGTTGGTGAGTTTTCTTCTCCTTTTTACGTGCTCTAGCTGATTTTGGGGTAGGTTTGGATCGAATTTGGAGTTTGGAACCGAATTGGAAACCTAGGTTTTGGCCGGTTTTCAATTTGAAATTCCGGCCAGTTCCCGTGCGAATTGGACCTCGTAGTAGTTGAATAAAGTGATCCTGACCTTGAGAAGAAGCTAGGGTAGGAAGGGTGAGCGTTGGTGTGGAGATTTTCCGTCGCCGGAAATTTCTCTACACACCCGCGCGCTGCCGGCGCGTGTGGCGGCGCGTGGGCAAGGTGGGTGAAGTTGTTTTTCATCCTGATGAGATCCTTAGGATGTCACAAGTGCGTAGGATTTTGCGGATCTCAATTTGGATGTCGTTTGACTATCGAACGGATTTCGCATATTGTGCGTTATCCGGGTTCGATAAGTTCTAAGCGTTGGATCATTTTCAAACTGAAATATGTTGATCTAGGTACTCTTAGGAACCTATAGGAATTCGCGGATCGTGAATCGGAGCCCCGGATGTTCCGATTCAATAATTTGAAGTTTAGGGAAAACGCGATTACCGTACGATTGGGAAGCGATTTCCAAACCTGTAACCGGACCTTAGGATATTCCTTTGGATGTGAGCGCACCGGGAACTTGGGGATTTAA